GGTGGTGACTAGTTACACGCCGAAGTTTTTTAGGGACGAGAGGAAACTATAAGCTATAATAATAATACGCGGAATAAATATGTGCAATAGTAATAGGTGGGCCATGCCTTCGGCATGTGGCCCCCCTAATAATAATACGCGGAATAAATATGTGCAATAGTAATAGGTGGGCCATGCCTTCGGCATGTGGCCCCCCTAATAAATATGTGCAATAGTAGTAGGTGGGCCATGCCTTCGGCATGTGGCCCCGCTAATAAGATTCCTAAAAATGGATGAACAGCAAGACTGAGATAAGTTGCAGCGTTTTGCACCATATGCATATGTTTAAAGACTTTATTAATGATTTGCTAGAGTATCTGAGAACAGAACAATTTCTTAGATTTAGGTTGAAACATTTCTTTAAGAGCTCTGGTTGGATTTTCAGGGGGTCTTGTTCTAGTTTCATTTTTTCTTTCCCTCCAGCTTTTCTCAAGAATTTAGGTATCCTTCTTCTCTTACAGCATGATCGGCTTTTCGGTCCCTGCAGCATAATGCTGCCACTGTCATGTTTCACCATCGGGATGCTGCAATCACTGCGTTAGTTCTGTTTTTTTTTTTAACAAGCACAGCATTTTGTATTAAGGGCAGGGTAGTGTATTTTCATCTGATCAGTTACTTTTAATGTCTTTAGGCATGCCATTTGTCAAATTACCCCATATGAGCTGTGGATCCTGGTCAGCTCCTCTTGGCAGCTCTCCTTTAATGGTTTCCTTTCCTGGCTTCTCAGATGGGCTTGTCCTGCCTGTTTTGCTGTTCATTTATACTTCCGCTTTCAGATGAAGGATTGAGCAGATTTCTGTGAGACTTTTAAAGCTTGCTATATTTTTTGTAACCTAGCCTTCTCCCAAAGCTTCTCCCTGACCTGTCTGGTTGGTTCATGATGTTTTCTAACAAATCTCGAGGCTTCACAGAACAGCTGGATTTTAGGGGTATCGCAATCCGTTATAAATATTGGATATCGGTCCAATATTAACTCAAAAAATAATATTGTATTATATTTTCCAGCATCAAAAATCTCAAATATTTTCATGCGGATAGAATTACTTTGTTTCTGTTTCTTTAACTCATTGATAAATATTACATGGGTCAGTTATTTTCATACGTTTTGTTGTTGACAATTTTTCTTATACTGATTTCAGTTGATAAAGCAATTTCTAGCATTCTACTGTACAAAATAAGTCATAAAAATATGCTTTATTTGTATCAGGTCAATATCGGCAAGGAAAAATTGGTATCGCTACTGGATTAATAATACCTTAAATGACTATGTTAGCTCATTTCTGAAGGCGTTTGGTTGGAATGAATTTTAATTCAAGGTGCTGAGTAAAGCCAATTGAATAGAAACACACAAGACTCTTTTTATCTGTAATAAGTGACCCTGTGTATTCCGATTGTTTGACATTATTCCTTTCCGTTAGTTCTTCATAAAATACATCAAATTCTGATAAAATGAGACAAACCTGTAAACATTTTGGCTCTATGAGATGTTTTTGCCTGACTTTGTTGGGTATATTTATGCCACATCTACACTTGAAGTCTGTAAGCAAATCATCACAAACAGATTCTCTCATGTCAGGGCGCAGTGCTTTCATAGGGCTCGGCTTTGGGGACCGAGGGGACGCCTTTGATTTCAACGTGGCTCTGCAGGATCATTTCAAGTAAGCTAAACCATTCCAGCCAAAATCCAGTAAATTGTTCTGCTTGATCAAAACAATTTAATTTAAAAAAGAAAGAGTTTTGAATATAATAAATTTAAAGCTACTCTTGAATATGTATGAAAAACAGTTTTCATGCATTTATTTAAAATTACATGTGAGGCAGCTCTGTGCTGACCTACTTACAGATGTACAGCAGACTGATTCTGTGAGTTTTTATTTGTTTTAAACCCTTAGAAAAATAATTCAGACCTTGTTGTCCTGCAAAGTGCTGCCTAGTTTTTGAATCCTCACTGAGTCTTTGTCTCTCTGGATCCCTACAGGTGGGTGAAGCAGGAGAGTGAAATCAGCAAAAACAGCCAGCTTGGCAACATTCAACCAAAGCTGGATTTGGGCTTTAAGGAGGGACAGACTATCACATTGAATATAGGGGTAAGAAAACATCTTATTCTTCCTTTATTCTCTAATTGTTTTAATATTTTTATGAACATTTATTTCCCATGATACTAAGGAATATTTATCAAAGACACACAATTTGGTTTGCATCAATCAAAACTTTAAATAGTTTCTAGAATTAAGTTTTGCAGCATAATAAACAGACACTAGAAGAAAGCACAAAATGTTCTAAACACATTTGAACCAGCAGTAACATTTAGCATAAAGCAACACTTTAGGTACCACTTTTTCCAAAGACTGTTAATAGAAATATGTGTATCATAAAAATGTTTGCGTATTTAATTCAAACCATAAACTTGCTCATTTCCTCCCCTCCTAATCCTTTAACTTGGCTTAAATTTCTTCCATAAACAGCAGGGGAAAAAGCGGGATAAGCCCCGTCCACAAGGCTCAGCGGGAGTTGGACTCCTTCCACCGCCACCTGGAGGGAAGATAGCTCCGCCTCCTCCATCAGGCTCATCCAACCACAACATGGTCCCCCAGACAGCCAGCACAGCCTCAGGTTAGTGGAACAACACATTAAAGCTGCAACCAGGTCAATATGGTGTTGGTGAGCTGATATGAAAGTAACTGGTCTAATAATGATGGAAGTCTGGCGCCTTGGGCGGCTTTAACCTACATGAGTAACCCATTTTCTCAATCTTTATTATTTGGCGCATATCTGGCTTCAGGAAATGAGTGTCGGCTGTAAGCTGCATTAAACGGTTATTTTTCTTTGTTTCTGACAGGCTGCCTCTTGGAGCTGGACAGTAGTAACTCTAACACAGTGGTCCAGTCAAATCAGGGTTCAGATGTACTTTGGGGAGAATTCTCAGCTCCTGCAAGGTAGATTTCAAACTCAGCAGTGATGGAGACTTTGTGCTCAATGTAGATTCTCACATTTTCATAATACTGGCTATGCAGTGATAATATTTTGGCTATTTCCCCCCACAAATCTTTTACAATTTAACAATGACTTAATACAGTGTTTTTCAATCCTGGTCCTCAAGGCACCCTGCTCTGCATGTTTTGGATGTTTCTGAGGTTCAGCAAACCTGATTCAGATAATTGCAGTTCAGCAAAGCATGATAATCTGCTATCAATTGATAACAGGTGTGTGAAAGCTGGGAAACATCTAAAACATGCAGGGCAGGGTGCCTTGAGGACCAGGATTGAAAAACACTGACTTAATAGACTTCATTTTTATACATTGACAGACATTGTTGTTTTATCTCTGATTTATTTGCTCAAACCTTTTTTGTGTGTGAGTAGCGCAATAAAATAATTAATACATATGATGTTCTTTTGTTTTCAGCTTTTAATTGTAAAGATTGCACATTATTTTATTCTGTTATTTTTGTTTTGTCTTTTATGTAGTGAAATTCCGTAAGAAACAAAAGCAAGTCTAAATCCCCTGTTTGTGCTCTGACTTTCAGTTCTGTTCCTCCTCCTTCAACACCTCAGAACTCCACAAACTGGATCCAGTTCTGATTCGCCGCTGCTTGACGTCAGCCGTGGTGTTTCATCTCGCCTGCGTTCGTGTCCATGGCTTCGTGTGAACCACACAGACAGCATCTCCCACACACTCACCCTCCTGGCAGCAGAGTTAACAACCGCCGCCGTTCTGTAAAATCATTCCACTGAAATAAAGCTTCTCTTCAGTCTAAAATGCTGCCGACAGCAAATGAAGCATTAATGAGTTAAAGCCATGAAGTTCATATGAGCCATAAACAACAACTAATAAGGGCTATGAAGCTGGTGTTACTCTTCATGTATTTGCATCTTTTCGCCTGTAGGGGGCAGAGCTATCTTTTGTTGCTGCATGAATTTACATTTTATTTATGTGAGGGCTCCATCTGCTGGCACCAAAGAGAACTAAACGTCTAGACTTAGCAGCTCTTTTTGGTATTTGGTAAGAAATTGAACAAGCAAAAAATGAAATAGACTTACAGAAATATTCTATTGAGATTAAAAGATCTACTGATTAGTATAACTCATCAGGATTAGCCCCTAAGTATGTTTTATATTTTTTTTTTATAAAAAAGAAATTTGAGATTTTTTGAAATGATAAAAAATACATAAAACTTGTAGGGTAGTCCTGCATTGGATAGAATTCATTTGTTTAAAACCCTTTTGTATGAATTTATTTTGGTAAAAAAGGTTAAATTAAATGCGAGCTTACAAAAATTACCATTGGGATTAAAATTGTGCTGCAGAATGGATGTTTAAAATGAGGTTTCTTTATCCTGATAAATATATACAGATATATAAGTAAAGTTATGGTATAAAACCAAGTTTAATTTGATTACAGATTGCTCTGTCTACTGCAACAATTATAGTGGATGCAAATAATTATTTTCTTCTATCCCCACTCTTTAATTAAACAAACTGTAGAAGTTTAATGGAAAAAGGAATGACCTTGAGAAAGCTTTCTGGAGAGGTGGCGAAACGTCTTCAAATCTTGAAAACCAAGTCCAGTGGATATTTTTTGAATTTTTACGGAATGACCTTGTCTGATCTAAATAGGCCTTAAAACAAGATCAAACTGGCCATACTGCTTTTGAGCTGGAAAAGAACAGCTTTGTGCAGTAAAGTGCAGCTAAGATCAGAGACTCTTAGAGGCAACACTTGTCTATGATGGCTTAATCTTCAGAATATCATAAGGATGCGAACCTGTGGTGGTTTCTGTCGAACCACAGCTCTGCTTTTGGCATTTCCGCTTTCAGTGTGATCACTGTGAAGTAGTTGTAGAGTTTAATTTGATGTAGGCTGTGCTGCTGCTGCTTCAATTGAGCAGTCTTTTTTTAAGGGAAGGTAGAATAATAATCTGCTTCGTTCTGATTCAATACTGAGCTTTTCTCTGAGAGCACTAATATTTTCTGCACAATAATAAAGTAATTCTGTACAACCTGCCCCCGCGACCCGACCCCGGATAAGCGGAGGAAGATGGATGGATGGATGGATGGATGTACAACCTGCAGCAGATGCCCTTGCTTGTACACTGGGGCTTGAACCCAGGTGCCCTGTATTAAATATTTGGAATAACTACAAGTCTATGTATGTATTTATGTAGCAGGTTTTAATCCAGTTTGATCTGTAGAAAAGTATCATAAAGACATTGCAACAGTTTGCATCATTTGCAACCTTGCATCATTTGAAGGCATTTTTTTCAGGTAAAGTTGTTGCCTGGTAAGCAGGAGAAGCATAAAAACTGATGTGGTTAATAAAAATAGTATTCAGTTTGGATCCTAGAAGAATTTGGCAGATATTTTTGACATTTCCTTTAATAAACCGAATGTTTTACTGTAGAGATCTGAGAGGAGCCGTCAGAGCCGTGGAGGAGAAACAAAATGATTGTCGCTTCAGTCTGAATGTCTAACTGTGGATCTTATTGCTCTTAAATTCTGATGTTGAATTCAGAAACAAGTTTACATTAATTTGTTTGATTTTTGTTACTGGCTGTGAATTAAAATGTCCTGCATAGATATATGAGAGAGATACTCACATAAACGGTATTTAACTGGCATTAAGCTGTCAGAATGACTGTGTTTTATTGTCATGAGTTATGTTTACATTAATGTTATTGCTAGATAAAATATCATGTCCTTCATTTGTTGCTTTTTCCATTCTGGCTGTAAATTCACTGGACTAACACTTGATTTATGACCAATTAAATGAGAGAGAGGCAATAAAACCTTTCAAAGGACGGTTTGAAGTCTGTTTTTATTCAATGTTTTTGGAGCATTTCGCCACAGAGGTTTATGTCTCCAGCACTTATTATGAGAGAGAAGAGACTTTCACTCTTTGGTTTCACCTAAAATATGATCTGGTGATGATGGAGGCTGAAAAACAGGAAATATATCCTGATGCTCAAGCAGCGTGAGAGTTTTTCAGTTTGCGGATTGAAGCAATACACTGCAGGTGGTAATCAATGAAGTCATTAATAGATGGATGTCCTCAACGTGTCCCTGTGGTGTTCATGTTTATAATGCTGCTGTTATGTGTTTTTCTAAGATTTAATATGTTTTTGAGATCAGACGCTTAAAAAAGAGGCAATTTGCTTTATTATTCCACCATAGCCTGAATTTGCAAGTAGAGCAGGAAAAGTGAAAATCACAAATATAAAAGGATGAAAATTGGAAAAAGAAAAATCATTTGTCCTGGCATCTTTTCAGTAGAGCAAACATTTGCTGATGAATCATTTTTTTATGTTTTTATTTAAAGGAAGGACAATAGTCACAATCACAAATGAAACCACTGATGAACAATAATAGGCACTAATGTTTGATCTTACATAATCAGCTTCCAGTGAAATATGAACTTTTATTTATTATAATCTTTTTACAGGGTTTTCTTTTTGGTCTGAAATGTTTTTTCTCCTACCTTTTGCTTTAAACTTTCACACTTTTACTAACACTTTATATACAAATATATTTCAGAGCCTTTAATGAGAAAAAAAGGAAGAAATATCAATGTATGGCTGTCAGTGACTGATGGTTGAAGAGAAAATATGACAAACATGTCATTACAGTAAACTATTCAAAATTCAGATCCGTATTTGCTCAAATTCAGTTTATGTTCTATAACTCTATATTTAGACCATATACATGCCCTGTCCATCCTCTGGTTGTCACTCTGTACTCTAAGAAGCTTGTTAATGAGGAAATTGAGACGGTCATAGTAGAAGTGAGAAATGTTGTGAGACGTTGGGACATGACTTCACCAAGCTGCAGCTTTTAGCTCTGCTGACAGACGGAAACGGAGAGCAGCAGACAGCTGGATGGACGGAGAGAGGGTCTCCCTAAGGAATTATCAGGAACTCAGTTCCTCTCAGAGTTTATGATCAATTCTGTTTACTTCCAAGGCAACATCGGACCATTGTGTCAGCTGAATATGTTGGGAAAGCCTTAATGTCATTCTGAGAAAAAAATATTTGGTGAAAAAATCTGATATTAATTTATTTTCAAAATAATTTTAGAGTGCATCAGAGTTCCCTGGTGCAAGCATGGTGGTGGTAGTATCATAGTGCTTCCAGTCTATATGGAAAACATGATCACTCAGGCCATGGTTCATGCAAGGAAACCAACCAGTTTCAATAAAATCTGCCATTTCTTACCAGATTTTTAAATGTCCCGCTGGTTGACAAATAATTTGCTGGCGGTGAGATGAACTGAAACACATTTATCCAAATATGGGGTGTATGAAAATATATATGTATTCAGTAACTTAGGATATGACCTCTGAAGATGTTCATTTTTAAGCCTAAAATATACAGTGCTGCTTGAAAGTTTGTGAACTAGTTGAGTAGTTTAGATTTTTTTTTTTTTTACCCTGATTTTCTTATTTTTTCATCACCAGTTTTTGTATATGAAATGTCAGGTTTATGTTCATCAATTCCATTCATTTGTTTTGAGGAAAATGTGGGAGTTGAAAGCAAACTAAATGAAAAACAGAATCAGAGCATCTGCAAAAGTAAATGAACCACAGCTGCACTGGTAAAGACAATCAGGTAAAAGACTCAGGTGAAGCACATGTTAGTGCTTGAGTAATCAATTAAGCAGACCAATCAAATGAGACGTCCTTGGGAAAAGTTTGGAGGTGCACTGGTTAAAAGGGAGACGAAACCAAACAAACCACTGTTGTGTCAAGGCATAAAGACCAGATCAACAATGCCGAGACGAAGGGAGACATCTGAGGACGTCAGGAAGAAGGTGGTGACAGCCCATCAGACTGGGGAAAGCTATAAGACCATCTCCAAAAGATTCCAGCTTCATCCATCCACTGTAAGACAAATCATTTACAAATGGAGGGCACTAGGCATCACTACAACTCTGCCCAGATGTGGACGGCCGTCAAAACTTTCACAAAGAAGCACCAGAAAAATAATGATGCAGGTAAAGGCCAACCCACGCATTACCTCCAGAGAATTGCAGACCTCTCTGTCAGCGTCTGGGATAAATGTACATGCGTCTACAATCAGGCGAAATATCAATAGACATGGCATTCATGGGAGAGTTGCTAGAAGGAAGCCTCTGCTCTCAAGAAAGAACAAAACTGCACATTTAAAGTTTGCCAGAGAACACTTGGACAAACCAGAGGCTTTCTGGAAGTCCATTCTCTGGACGGATGAGTCCAAAATTGAATTATTTGGCCACAATCACAGGCGCCATGTTTGGAGAAAAGTAAACACTGACTTTAAAGAGAAGAACCTCCTCCCAACAGTGAAGCACGGTGGTGGAAATGTGAAAGTCTGGGCCTGCTTTTCTGCCTCTGGACCTGGACGACTCCATATTATCCAGGGAACCGTCAATTCCCAGGGCTATCAACAAATTCTTGATCAGAATCTCTTGCCATCAGTCAGGGAGTTGAAGCTGGGACGGAAATGGATTATGCAACAAGACAATGACCCAAAGCATTCCAGCAAAAGTACCAAAGAAGGGCTTAAGAGAAAGAAGATTTGCACTCTGGATTGGCCCAGTCAAAGTCCAGACCTCAATCCCATAGAAATGCTGTGGCAAGATCTGAAACGGGCAGTACATGCCAGATGTCCCTCCAACATCTCTCAACTGGCAGAGTTCTGCAAGGAGGAGTTGACAAAAATCCCAAAAAGCAGATGTGAGACACTTGTTTGTGGTTACAGAAGACGTTTAGTCGAAGTAATGGCTGCAAAAGGCGGTGCCACAAGGTACTAACTGAAAGAGTTCACATACTTTTGCACTTGGCATATTTTCTGTCTTTGACAGATAAAATACTTTTGTTGAATAAATAATAAAAAGATGCATCTTTTTTGTCTTTGTGTTCCTTATCTGGAAGGTCCGCATTACAATTTGAGCTTTGGATGTACATTTTACATGATTATTATAACTTTTCTTTAGAAAACAATGGCCATGTTTGGATGGTTCACAAACTTTCAAGCAGCACTGTATATTTAGAAAT